CATGCAACAATCTGAGAATCGACACTGCCCATTCACTACCAACACAGGAAGAGTGATGCGTCCATTCAGAAATGCTTACTATGCGCATGTGATTTGCCACATCTGTGTAATCTCATAAATGTGTTGGAAGTGTGTGTGCAAAGAGCAGAATAGGGGCATTTTGAGAAGAGGCATCCAGTGCAGGGATAGGGGGGGAGGAAATGTAGGATATATAAATATATATATTTTTTTTTTTTAAAAAAGATGGCAAATTCATACAACATGCACAGGGGGATCATCTGCTAAACTCTTACTTGGATGAGGATTTTACACATTTTGTGAATTTTTTACCTGTTTGAGGAATGATAGATGAGTTACCAAAACAATATTTTTATATTGATATATGTTACAAAGCCTTTGCATTACATATATATTTTTACAGATATTTTAAAGTCTAAACTTACTCAGGGCTATTAATATGCCAGAGACAAACATAATGACAGCAAGGATAACCCCTGTTGTCCGCAATGTCTCATAATCTAAAAGGAACAAAAACCACACACGAAACACTTATAGGAATTTATTGTGTATTTAAAGAATGCTATCAGTAGAAATACAACACTCATTTGGCTTTGATCTTTGAAATGAATAAACAACATAAATCTTACCATATTCGAAGTCGCTTTGGTCTGGAAACACTGTTTCTGCAAAGAAAGAGTGTCAAGTTATAAACCACATTTTAAAAGTGTTTATTTGGCCACAACAGTAATGGGATTATTACAAAGCTTTTTAATGCACTACAAGGGAAAGAAAGCTTTTCAGCTTCCCAGTGTGCAGAATTGGCTCCACAACTCCTCAGGAGTATTTTTCCCCCTTGACTGCAGCATCTTGGCTCAGCAGAAAAAATGGGTTAGAAGCCAGCAGCAGGATACAGAGGTGTCATCCCAGCAGCAGAGGATAAAAAGATCTTAAATTGAGTTAAACAAGAACTTGAAGTTAGGAGGATATTTTTTAAAAAGATTAATAATAATAAACTAAAATAAGCAATTTAAGGAGTCCACCCCACATCAACATAGTGACTTTTTAGAAACATAAACGAGCAAGCCCGTGCTAAGCAATTAAGATGTCTGGATGCCAAGATGCAGCTTGCATATTGCGGAACCCTCAGTTTCTCAGCAAGTGGCTGAGCAGACAGTTTTTCTTTCCACAGGTTTCCCCCTTCCACAAAATCCGAGAACTGTTTTAGAGAAGTACTTAATATTTGATCTGTCCATTCCAGCGGGGACATTTACTCAGGAACTCCCTGTGTTATGACACTCCGTGCATCAGCAGCTAAACTGTTTCCCACAACTCTAGCAAACAATGCAGCAATGGAACAGCATAAACATAGGTGTGAAAATGAAAGCAGTGATTTCAATTTGTTCCTGATCTGCAAAATAACTTTTTGTACGCGTTTCATTTTAACAGGAAAAACAAACAAAGAAACAAACCTGTGGTGTCCATGGCTGCAGTGCAGAGGTGAAGATGAGCTCAGGTGCTGGTTTGCAGTGTTGGACTGGATGCGAAAAGTGGGAGCAGCATAGCACAGCAGGGAGAACAATAAACTCAGGCGGGTCCCTCTGGTGGTTATGGTGAAACACTGCATGCTGCATGCATGGTGCAAAATGAAAAATAAATAAATAAATAAATAAATAAAAAAAATAATAAAAAAAAATATATATATATATATATTAGGGGTGCAACAATACTCGTATCGGTATATGGTGCAAAATGAAAAATAAAATATATATATATATATATATATATATATATATAGAGGCAGCAGGGCTGCCCACATGGGATACTGTTAATGATCCAGCCAAAGTTAAAACAAATATCTAATTTTATAATTGGTAGGCTTGGTAATTATCCCGTCTTCTACTACCTGCTAAGAACCCCAGCCTTGTGTTGTGTCTAAGTTTGTGGTGGAGAGTTGCTGTTATTTTCTGTGTAGCATCATTTTGTTTCAGCAATCATTATATGTAACCGTTAACTTTCTGCTATAGAGTATATAAGCTTGCACGCATAAAACCCCAGCTCCTGCCTCACATTGTCTTTTGTGCAGTGCAGTCATCCCATTGCTGCAACTCCAGGGAGGAAAAAAAAAAAAAAACAGCCTACATCTGCAGCTTTTATGTTCACTGAGGCTGGCAGACTCATACTGGTACAAAACCTGCCAATAAACAGCACTGAACACAGAAACAGGCAAAATTAAAGCCCTTTTTTCAAAAAGAAAAAGAAAAAACTCCAAAAGCTGCAAAACGCGGCATAAATCACTCTGCGCACACTGCTGGTTGTTACTACTGCATGTGTAACTGAGCTGGCTGCAGTGTCAGCAGAATCAGGGGTGCGGTGTGGTACAGTACAGTTCACTGGTTTAAATTTGCAGTGGCGCCAAATTAAATAAACACGCATTAAAACGTAAAACATCGTGTCAAACATTTGCTTTATTATCCTGCATCGAAGTGAAAATCTCAAAAATACAAACGATAACAACACTATCGCCATCATATAAAGTTGGCACAATATCTACTACCATGGAAAGGAGACAAAAACATAAAAAAGGAGAACTGTAACATTATGTAACTGTAGATAGCTTCATGTGTTCGTGGAAAGATTGTCTGCCGCTGACGTAGTATTTGCTGCCACCTAATGGCAACATTCAGCAAAACTGCAGAAGAGGTAAAGGATTCAGTTCAACTTAACAGAAATTATTTATTTTTGAGCTTCACTTTAAAGGTGATTCACACATGTTTGCAGGATACTTACCAGTTGTGCATCTATGTCTGTTAAACTGTGGAAAGAGTCTTATGTTACTACATGGTCAGTAGGAAAAAAAGAAAAAGAAAAAAAGAATAATCATTATATAAGAAAGGAGCCATTTACCTCTTCGAACACCTGGTTCCCCATCAGGACCCCTGGGTCTGAAAACATAACAAAACAGAATTACATTAAAAAAACTGATCGTGTGCATCCAGAATGAAAAATGTTTATTTACTTACCTTGGGTTGTCTCTCTTTGAACAGGTACACTTTCGGCCTGTTAGTTAAAAAAAAAAAATTAGACAGAATCACAAGTAAAAGAATTACACAGGGCTGGTATCAACAACACTATGCTTTTCTACAAAAAGCACAGAAGCAAATGTTAAGAGAATTTATACAAACACAGCAGTCAGCTTTGTACCCTTAAGTATTAAAGGAGGGAGACTGCTCCAAGCCTTGATAGATACATTAATTCACTTTCAAGCTCATTTTCATAAGCATGTCTGGGCTGCAAGCCTAGGAAGGCCTTATAAGCTTCCAACTACTTGGACTGAACCCAAGACTATATTCATCCACCAAAATCCCCCCCAAATATTTGGTTGCTTAACTAAAAATACATGTGGCGGTGCGCTGGATAACTTCAGGCTAGTAGAATTAGTGGTGCATGGTACGTGCAAGCCAAGAGTGCTCAGCTCACTTTAAAAAAATAAATAAATTATAATTTAGCGATCAGTTTGCTTTTAATCTCAATGAGGCAGAGATGAGATGATATAGTTTTTTATTATCCTTCTTACATCTCTTTCTGTCAAGCTGCAGCACTTAGAAAATATCTGAAAAATTATTAAGCCTGTGACCTACGTATCGCAAACTGTGACTATCTGTCTGTCATATATATATATATATACACACACACACACACACACACACACACATGTATAGGTGCATTTTATGTATATTCTGAAATGTCATTGAAGATTTTATTTTCTATTCAATTAAAAAAAATCTGTACTTTTCTTAAACAAATGGCATAAACGTCTTTGGTTAGCCTCTCTGTTTAAAGGACTCATCAATGACTGCTATTTCTATGTATAATTTCATAACTCATATACTAAATACTAAAACAAAACTTTCACAAAGTGCACTTGGAAGCCCACTCTGCTTTTTACAAACAGAGGCAGGCAGAGAGTGTGGCCGAGCATGTGAGTGCCACTGAATAATTTATTGGCAGGTTTTGGTTTCAGGGCTCCCAGTGGCAACAGCAGCATGTGCTGGCAGGTAAGAGGAGGACCCTTGGAAAGACACTGACTTCAGATATAAAGGCCAAATTGCTGTGATGCAAGGAGCATAAATGTGTTGAGACTGCACCAGAAGCATCTGTGTGGCTCCCTCCAAGACCTCCGAGGGAAACGGGGGGGCTGTGAGGTGAGTTTGCGCACACAGGGAATACAATCCGCTTACACTTTTGCGTTTACACATTTGCACTCTTGCTGTGTCTTTAGACGGCCATGCACTTACTGACAATGATTGCGATGCCCAGGAAGAACAGCACCACTGCAAAAACCAGCCCACCAATTCTCAGAGATTCATAATCTGAAATAACAAAAAACAAAAAAAACCTAAAAACACTTTGTAGTGTTTGCAGATTTACATGATGTAACGTTTGAAGTCTTCAGTCTGGAAGCAAGGCGTGAGACAAACAGCAGAGAGCGAGAGAACATCAAAAGAAGAAAGGTCTGTTTAATATAGGTATATTTTAATTATACCTGACATCATTTTGAGTATTGTTAATTAGTAATTATCTGTATTTATTTGTATATAGTACATGTACATTCATTTCATGGTTTAGTAAAATGTGTTAAAATCTTTAGTAATAAATATCAACTGAAAAAACATTTTGATCACAAGTTTATTTTGTTGTTAAAAAGAACAAAAACACTTATTACGGTACATTGTACATGTATTCAAACTGCTATGGATTTAAATAGTTATTACCTGTTACTCTAATGCAATTAAAGTCATAAAAAATAATGCAACTATAGTCAAACAGTATCCCATGCCAACATCATCACTTTGAACTTCAGATAAATCCATTAACCTAGAAGCAGAGGTTTTAATGGCACTTTCTCTTGTTGCCAATACGAACTATGATTCTTACAAGTGTAGTGTGTAACTTCTAGGGCTTTTTCTCAATTTTGACTATTTCATTAAAAACTTTGATCATTCTTAATTTCATGGCAGCAACGCATCTAAAAAAAAAAAAAAAAGGTTGGGTTCCACAGAAACCTTCTCTTGGCCAAACCGTTATGTGATCAAATCGAATTTTCAATTCTTTTTGGAAAACATGGATGCTATGCCCGCTGGCTAAAGAGGACAGGTATGAAACATCTGGATTGGTATCAGTGCTCAGTTCGAAAGCTTGAATCTCTGATTCTATTACACTCATTGTAAAAGAGCCTGTCACAAAATGAGAAATACAGTCAACAAGTCCCAGGACTGTTTAGCTGCTAGAATCCCATGTCAACAACATTCCTCTCCCAAAGGTCCGGCAACTGGTCTGCTCGATTCCCAGATGTTTCCCTGCTGTTGAAAGAAGAGGGGATGCTGCACGTTGGTAACATCATGTCCCCGTCCCAACTTTTTTTGAGACGTGTTGCTGCCTTCAAATTCAAAATGAGTAAATAAAATTTTATTTGAATTTGCAAATCAGTAGATTCCATTTTTATTTACATTTCACACACTGTTTTTTTTGTTGTTGTTGCAAATTTAGGGTTGTGTATACAAATGATTGTGGTACTTTTGCATTACAGTGCACTCATTCTCCACCAATATCTTCCCTGAGACAGCTCTGTTATTGCATCCGGTAAACAACAGATCACTGCTCTTAGGAAAGCCTATTCCTGTAGTGTAGCATTTTGATTATTTTAGTGCTGTGCCCAAGTGTATTTTAACAGGAAACACTTTGGTGGACCTTAAGTAAGTGAAGCAAATAGAAACACATGGAGGAAAAAGCGAGGTGGACAAAAACAAACAAAAAACTTTCCCCAGTGAAAATGATGCGTTTTGATCACCGTTTTAGTGGTAATTGTGTGGAATAGTACACCGTGGGCATGAGACAACTACCAAATAATCCCCTACCCTCGAGAACAAAACACAATAAAAGTGCATATAAAATGCAGATGTTCAGTCATTCTCTACACTCTTCCTTTGGATCGACTAAAAAGCCGTGACAGTGCTCGGTATTTACATTGGATTTACTCCAGAAGCTTGGCCTTAGGGTGGAAGTTTTCCATCACTTTTGGAGAAAAAACAAGTGAAAAATGTAAACTCATCTCAACCTCCCAGATGTTTCCTGTGTGGAGGGTCGATCATTAAAAGCCCAAGTTCATCTGCTCAGCCCTCACCGTATTGAAAATCCCTGTCGTAGTCTGGAAGAAGAAAGCAAAAAAGAGGAAACAAATGAGAAGCAGATTTACGCACTGACACGCTTCAGCGAGTACTCACAATATGACATCAGTTCTAGAGCATTATTAACCACTATGAGCCTAGTACCAGTTTACAGTAAATGCTCTACAGCGAGTACTTAGATTAAGCTAATTTGACTTTCTAAAAAAAAAAAACAACCCCCCACAATACCCACCTTTGTCATCATCAGCTGCAGAAACTGTGAGAGAGAAAGCAAAGAACATTGACCTCTATTAAGAAATTCAGCAGGTTACATAAGTGCATGTCAGCAAATGAGAGGCTGTTGTTGGACAAAACTGGGTTGAGCAAACATCTGAAACAGCGCCTATTAATGAAGGTCTTCATTTTGTAGCTGGCTCCTTAATTAAAACAAAACAGAACAAAACACGCACGCATGGACATTGTTCTCATGGGAACAGCGTGTTAACACTGTTAAGACCCAACTTCAAATCAATAAAATCAGGATTAGAGGGGTTCCAGTTATTGGCAGGAGGACCAGTTTCTATTTAAATCTCAAACATCACAAGAAATGTAGAGGATAAAATGCTTGCTAGCCCAGATATTTTAAAAAAAATCCCGGAAAATAATAACTGTGCTTCTTCTACCCCAGTATTTTTATTTCATCGCCCTGTTTTAATCCGTGCTCTGTCACTAATGCGGGGAACTTCAGATCGGTCTGTTCTAACACCATCTCTGCCTCCATGTGGAGAAAAAAAAGTTGGCTGCAGACTTTCAGATCTACACTGTTCATTATAAGAAAGGAGAAAGCAGGCACTGTTTATGTGAGCGTCAGTGGTCCGAGTGAGAACAGTGTAACCTTGGAGGAGCACAAGAGAACGCTACACAAATACTTGTGTTAGGCAACATTTTGCATAATTAATGCGTTATTTTTAACGGTTATCATTAACAATATTCGACCATAATAGCCGATGCTGAAAGCACTGACATGATAAGGCAAGCGGAGAGTTATTAAAGAGTAAAAGCTTTCTGTTCTAAAGTTTAAGCTTAGAGACTTTTCTGACACTTGCTGAAAGAATCACGTGAACTGCTACAAATAAGATTGATGCGGTTGAAACCCTGAACTCAGTAATATGTTATCTGTTCTACTGCATCCTGGCTGCTGGAGAGGAAGGGTGAAAGTCACACAGTTAACGCTGACCTTGTTCTTGGGCAGTAAATCCTAATATTATTCTTTTTCCTCACCAAAGCAGAAACACATTCTATCATACCGATGCCGACAAGTCTTCCAAAATAAGGTCTAACCCAAGAGTCGGACATAAAAGTCAAAGAAGATCTGCTTAAGATCAAGCACAGCCGATGGCATGCGGGGTGCACGGATAAACAACTCTGAGACCAGAGCTTGCATTAACAATGGAAAACTTGGCAGCAGTCTGAATAACTGATTTATTCAAACTGCTGTATAAGGAAACATTTACACTAGTCTGACACGGCCTTTTCTCTGTGTACAACACCGGGGTGAAAGATTTAAGCTGATTTTTGTTTAAGTATGCAAATTAGACATTATAAACATCTGACCATGTTAAAGTGCCATACAATTATGCATGCAACATTAAACAGAAGCAAATCGAACGTTCATGCTTCGTCAGTGACCACTCACGCAAACTTACCAAACACCTCCCTTCCAAATGCTGATCCTATTATACAGACACATCAGCTCATTTAGCATGGAAGGACTTAAAGCAAAAGCTAGGGAAAGGGGAAGCAACTGAAGAAGGTCATGCTTGTTTTAAAGGGGGGAAAGCACGTAATTCTGCCGAAGATCTCGTGAAAAGAATACCCACCAAGCGCAGGAGCCAGCCAGGAACTGAATGCCACCAGTGTCACAAGATCCATTGTACCTGTTTGGAAAAGTCAAACAAGATTGGGCTGTGTCAGGATGTGAAATCACAATAACAGGAAACAATAAATGTCTTAACCCGATTGTACACAGTTGTAAACCCCCCCCCCCAAAAAAAGACGTGAACCTTCATGAAATCAAGTCTTCATTATAGACAAACGCAATTCAACTGGATTAATAACACACAGTTTTACTTTTCGTGTCTTTATTCAAGATGCCAACTGATCCCTCACAGTGCAGGCTGAAAAAAAGTAACTCAAACAACTTTCTTTATTAGCAACAACCTCAATCAGATGCTAGCCTGGAGAAGGAGAGGTATGCACTGGAGAAAACAGGAAGAAATAACACATCTGTGTGAATGAAAGACAGACAAGTGGGACAAACAAATAATACCATTTTAAGCTACAGACAGTGGACAAGAGAGGTGAAGAAGAGAGTGCAGGCAAGTACTGATTTGGTGATATTATTAGACAAAGGATGTTAAAGATGGAGCTGCCAGGCAGGAGAAAAAGACAAATGACGTCCAAAGAGAATCTTTATGGGTGTAGTGAAGGTCATGCATAGGGTTGGTGTGATAAAAGTGGATCCTAAGGACAGGGTAATATGGAGGCAAGGTAATCCGCTGTGGCGACCCCAAAGTGAGTAGCGGAAAGATGAAAAAGAAGAGCCTCAATCAGATGTTACCGGTAGCTGCTTATGAGATCGGGCAACAATCAAGAGGAATCTCGCAACGTTTTAGGAAGATTTTTGAAGCATTTTCCAGCTAGGGGCACCTCTTTAATGTGTTTTCTAAAATTCTAAGAGTTGTCTTGATCAAGGAATAATTTACACATCTACACATTAGAAGAACAAATTCTACAACCCTCATTTCAGATCTCATCTCCTTAACAAGAACGTCTGATTCCAAGACGATTTGGGAGAACTGATTACAGCAGATGCTTTTACCAGCCTGGACTTTTAGCGAATGTTTTTGTATTCAATTAAGGCAAGTGAAAGATAACTTTTTGTGTTTCCAAAACATGCTCCAAGTTCACAGATGGTGTTTTTGTAGAACTATAGAAGCAGCCTGCTTACAACTTTGTGTGGTTATGAAGAAGCTTAATTTAATCTGAATGACATCTTTCTTCATGAATATCTGACATCCTCTAGTCTAAAATAAATCAGCTGCTCACACTGTTCTGCTAACGGAGAATCAGCCACTTTCGATGAAGTTCAGAACTGTTTTCACAATAGTCTATGGTTAAACTGAACTGAGTTTCACGTGGAAAATCATTGACACCATGCCTGGTAGGGAGACAATGCTCTTTCTCAGCTAGATGCCACATAACAGGCTCATGAATGTTTTCTGTATGGGAGTCTTAATACATAGTGCCTTAAATCTGGGTAAGCGAAGAGGGTCTATTTCAAGCACAGCCCCTCAGAATATGGAGCTCAGCAGTGGAGGGGTACCAGGCAAGTCTGGTGTTGAGTTGCACTTGATATTTGGTCAGTGGATTTGGACTGGTTTTGCTGGGTCATCTACTTTACAAGTGGAGCAAAACCTTGGGGGAAGCATTACGGTCTATATATTACCTAGTACACTGGGATTCTCTTACACCCATATGTGTAAGGTTATGTTTTAGGTTATGATCTCACCAGATCCCACCCTTCATGATTGGAAATGGGCTGAAGGTCCATTCAAGAGGCGAAATTGTGTTTGCTTCACAGCCCTAATTACCAAGAAAAAAATACCAAAACAGGACAACAAAAAAATGTAATGCAGGTACGCAAAGCTTAGCTCTGCAGTCATAGAAAATCTAAGCCATGAAATAACATCTTTTGCAATGCAAAGATCAAAGCCTATGTTAGCAGAGCCAATGGCTCCCTCCCTGGCCCAAAGCACTGATGGGGATTCATGCATGACTAGAGTGGGGGTGTGAACACGAGCCTGGAGCCTGGAGTGGAGAGAAATGAACACTTCAACCCTGGGAGCAGGATTAACAACAAAGGCCTGCCAATCAGGTTTAATCAAACAAATACAGGGTGAGTTATTCGAACAAGTGCCAATCCAATAATCTTGTTTGTTAGCCTTCTGAGTGATGGAGAGGAATATAATGGGGAGACAGGAAAGAAGCCCGTAGAGCAACACGTAAAATGAATTATAATGGGTTATAATAAAGTGGGATTAACACAGACTGTTTGCAATTAGGAATAGGAGCTTGTGTTTTACATTTCACTTACATAAACCCGTTACGGGGTATATTTAGACTCCAAACAGACTGCATCACCATACTTCCAAGGAACAACACTTGAGGTTTTTTTCCTTTCGTAGTTTATTCTGTGAGGTATAGTCTGAAAAACTATGATATTCTGACATCTGTGCGAGTTGTCAACAATTGAAGCCATTCAGATTGTTACAGATTAAGTGACATTTCACAAGTTGTTGGCCACAAACTCACGGCTCAGCGCAAAAACGAGCCTCCAGTGAACTTGGCACGTAGAAGTTAGAGCAAATTTACGAGCAGGGAAAAAAGGCTTTCATAGTGCACAGAAGCATTGCAGGTATATGCAAAGAACGCGTAGGCGTGAGAGAAGCATGAGCGATGGCTTATCTAATTAGACGGTCACATGGTGGACGCAGGCGTTTAGTTGGGGGTGGTGGTGGAAACAACGTTGGAGAAACCAAGGAGAAAGACGATATCTTTCTAAGAACATATCTACCAATCAAACGCTGCTGACACAGGGTCCTGTTTATATGCGTGCAGAATCTATTTAATATATTTGTACCTGCATTAATATGAAAGTCGTGTTCAAGGAAACGCATTCATTTCAGCAGAGCACAAGTCAAAGTGAACTTACCGTATATCCGCCTCCTGGAAACTAATGTGAGTTGAGACTTTTCGCTCAGTGAGCTAAACTTTACTTGGAGGGGAGGGAAAAAAAAGTTTCCCTACGTTAAACACGCACAAAAAAATAAATAAATAAAATGCATGCAAAACCTTCTATTATGACTTGATTAAAAATGAAGCCGTCTGGGTTGCATTCTGTGTGGATCGTTCACCATTCCCGCCTGGACCAAGTCGGTTTCTCCTTGGTCTTGCCTCAGGAATGAAAGGGGGAGGGGGAGGCGGGGTGCCACTGAAGTTACTCCCAAAAATTACCCAGGACTGCCCCGCTCACAAGTAAACAACGCAGGCAGAGCTGGACTGCAGCGCTACTGTGAGAGGACATCATCATCATCATCATTATTATTCCCACGCTCTTTGTTGCCAGCGCCTCTTGTCAACATGTTTTCCACAATGAACTATTAATCACGCTCATTTCTCCCCACTGGCAAATAATAGCCACAAACTGCACGGAACACAGTGAACTCTTTGTTCTGTGCTGCAATTTCCAGGCTTCAAAGAGAGGTTCGGTGCAATTAAGCAAATAAACACTAGATGGCCAGGACAGACTGTCACTGTTGCAGTTTTCTCTCAGCTACATGAAAACTTTGTTCGCGAGGTGTTTTTCCAAGTCAGAGTGCCAGCTTTCTGTCCCCTGACAGCAAAGCCTGGCCGGGGTGGAGGAAGGGCCCCCTTCCCTACTCTAAGGACCTTTAGTACATATAGGTTTCTTATAATGGCATTAGGTTAGCATTACTTCTATTACATGTGCAAAATGTCATGTTTTTCCAGTTTAAATTGATACAGGTTGCTAGAGCTTCTCTAGAGGAAACACGCGAAGAATCACAAACAACCCACATACTGCAGAGAAAATATCTTTATTTAGCGGTCAGAACAATGTGTTTTTTAATAACAGACACATATTAAAAAGTATTGCAAGACAGGCAAGACAGGCAAGACATAACGGGAAAGGAGATGGAATAATTTTCTCCCCCACTAGATGGAGATATTGGTCAAGAATGAGCTCCATGCCTCTTTCGCCCCTTTCTTTCCCTCTTTTTTCTAAACCCTGGGTAAACAATAGAAGGCACAATCACCAGGAAGCAACTTAAACTATTCCATGAATCAAGACGAGATGCTGAAGCAGGTTGAGTAAATCTGTGAACAAGCGAGATTCTTCATCCTGTTTAAGAGGGGAAGAAACATGGACGTGAGCCACTGTGCAGCTGTTTCATTCATGAGCAAGCATCAGTTAATATCTGAGCTTTATATTTTATTACCTGTTAACCAGATGCTTTTGTCGGCACAGGACCAGCATCTCTACAGGCCACTGCAATGAAAACAAAAGGGAAAATGAACTTATAAGGAGACTGGAGTAAAGGAAAGTCGTGTCCACTCGGGCACAGCGGAAATTACGTGTGATGACTTTGTACATGAAATTTGTGTTTTAAAAGAACTGAGGATTAGCACTTGTTCTTATTAGAGTTATTTTCTTGTGTTCTCTATGGACTTGTTGAGAAAAAAAAGCCAAATAAACGACAACTCTGAATAACTCAAGTCAAGGGAGGAAAGAGACGGACAAAACTCTGCTCTCCAAAGAGGTGACTTAAGGCTAGGACACAAAACTAAACATGAGGGCTCAAATTAATATTGCACCCAGATGAGTCTTAAGTGTCCTTGGATGACAAGCAGTGATTGGATTGCAAGCTTGGTAGCTTTTGATGGCCATGCCTGTCAGCCTTACCTGCTTTTTAATCAGTAATTACCACAGGGGATTCTCTGGCATTTCTTAATTAAATTGGACCAAATGCAATTAAAAACCACACTCTCATTCCCTTAAAAGGGCTCTGTGGAGTCCTTGTTTAGTTCTTGCTGTTAAGAGAATAAGCGGTTGAATGGTCATAGCACCTTCCCATCTCTCGCTGATCTGTACTTGATTATTTCAGTGGTCAAATTAAGTTTGCAGTTTGCATAATATGGGGAAAGATAGCATTTAAGATAAAAAAAAAAATAAACCCTCTAACATGGAGCCAAATAATTAAAAGTTAATATCTGGAGCTCTGGATCACTATGAGAGTAAGTAGTGAAGCGAAGGCTGATCCTGTCATAGCACTAAGTGTAGTACTATATCTTCCCCTTTAACCCCCATATATTTACACACAGGAAATGCTGCAATGTGTCTTTAAAATACTCACCATCTGGAAAAGTCCCCAGCGCTCCAGGAGCCGACAACTACAGACACATCAGTTGTGATTTTTCCATCTGCTGTCGTCATGTCATCTTTGGAGTCGTTATTGTAGTTACCACAGGCGCCGCACATTTTACCAGACAGGCTACTGTGAATAATGACGGTGACCTCCTGAGAAATAGAGTAAGTGACCCGCACAGCGGACGCCCTCTCGATGATCAAAGCCCTCTCTGAGATTTGGACAGAGAGTGTGCTTGTCACTTTGCTGGGAAGAGACACTTTCCTGCCATTTACCTGAATGACACAGATAATGGAACATAACTGTTATTATTATGGTATAAAATGTCTATTATTATCTAATATAGTATAAAACTGAGCTCAAACCAATCACATTCAATTTTTGCATAAAAATGTTCTCACCCAGGTCACGTGTTCGCTGTTCACTGCCACGATAGTATCGCTGAAGAACACATACACACTGGCAACAGTGGGAGCTGCCCCCTTGTTGCAGACCCTAACGTCCACGACCACACGGAACCACAGCTCAGCGCTCTCGTCACACAGAGACGCCACTTGGAAAGCGCCCTGTGCTCCTATCGCGCCTGACATACCATCAAAGGAGCTTAGCTGGCCATCACGGCTGACGACGCATTGGCCCTGCTTCAGGTGGCAACCCCTGACCCCGTCTCTGATATCGCAAACTTCCCCACTGGCACAGGACAGCTTTTCACACTTTACCATACCAGAGGCCTGGCACACACACTTTGACTTGCAGTCGTTGTCCACCAATTCTTGGCCCACCTGGGAAGAAGATGTTAAAAACTCATCATACAGAACTTGTCATAGCTCTATTCAGGTGTTAATTCAGTGACCAGAATATAGGGCTAGTCAGTTTTTACCATCAGATATCTGCCGTTGTACATACACCCACAGTCTTCCAGGACAACACACTGGACACCATTGAAAACGAAGCCATCATCACACTGGCATCCTTCAAAACAGCCCGGAAAACAACCAAACGGGGAAACAAAACTGGCACATGTCCCACTACAGGTGTCGGCACACAGCTCATAGTGACTGTGTGGAGGGCAGGATGCAGCTAGAAGAGAAAACAAGGGCAAAAAATTTGTGCCTGAAATACAGAGCACAGATGAATACATGAGCTAATCTTCAGCTAGAGACTGCTGTGTGTTACTTACGGCAGAAAGAGTTGCTCCTCCACTGCTGGATTTGAACTCCTGCACTCTGGCAGGCCAAAGCGTAAGCCTGCACACTGTTACACAGAGTGTCTTTGTTGCCCCCCACAGCACAAACATCAAACACACAATCCGACAGATATACTGCTGGGTCAATGACACTGTGGCAGGCTTTGAAAGGCCCATTAGGCGCACTGATGATGCCGCAGGAGTCGGATTTTCCATACAGGACAGCTTTGGCCTGCTCACATTCTGGGCACTGTCCTCCACAGCCTCCACATATATACCCAGGTAGGTCCACCGTCCATGCCATCCCAAATTCATCAACGTTTTTGGCTTGTTTGCCACCAGGAAGAATGAAATCATCACCACCGTTCTTGTTGTAGTTTCCACAAAGACCACACATCTTTCCCTGGTATGTAGAGGGAACAATCACCTCAACATAGTACACAGTGTCATAGAGGACTGTCAGTCCAAAGGCTGTTCGAACAATTATGTTGCGACCTTCCTGGGTTATTTTGAGACGCCCATTCTCCAGGGATAGCGGAAGGTTTAGTAGTTCATCATCCACCTTAAAGATCGAGACAAAAAAAAAAGAAAAAAAAAGAAGAAGATCGAGACAAAAAATCATTTTTGGGGAAAAAAATGAGAAAAAATACAAGACATATCTACATAAGTATGTTTGATCAAGATAACAAACTCACAAAGACTTTCCAAGGCATTTTCTGCTGGATGTAAATGGCATAACCATAGACTGAGACTGCCACTGACTTCGTCACAGCCACCTTTCCATTTCCAAACTTCTCATTCCCCTGAGTGACGGTGAACGGCGTCAGCTGACCTTTGTCATCATCACAAACCTTGGCCAGTACATAGACACAGGTACCCTGGAAATCAAACCTACGTCCATCAAAGGAAATGTAATGAGGATCACCGGAAGCCACACATTTGCCTTCCCCCTCTGGATAGCAGCCTTTCACTCCATTTACAAGCTTACAGATTTCTCCTGGACGGCACTTGGCCTTTTGACAAGACACAGCTCCATTGTCCCCACAAGTGCATTCCTCTGCGCACTTGTCTTCAGAATAGAAGACGTCTCCTTTTTGGTAGTACTGACCATCATAAGAGCACCCACAGTCCTTCACAGGCACGCAGGTATCCCCACTCAGGAGGTAGCCTTCGTCACACTCACAGCCTTCTGAACAATACCTGTGGCAGCTGGTAACGGGGGTTAAGCTTGCGCAGGTGGCTGGACAACCCGTGGCACACAGGCTGTAATGGCTGTTAGCAGGACAAGCCATAGCTGTGGGATGGAATGAGAAGATGGGAAAGCAAAGAAGGTAAAAGGTAAAAGATATTTTGAAACAAGAGACTTAATAAAACAGGCAAAAAAAAAAAAAAAAAATTCAAACTCACGACAGAAGCTTTCAGCTCTCCAGGAGTAGATGGTGACTCCAATGCTCTGACATGCAGAGGCATACACTTCCACAGCATCGCACACTGATCCATGGTGCCCTTGATATTGGCAAACGTCAAAAACACAGTCCTCCATGTAAGGAGCTGGGTCCACACGGCTATGGCAATCTTTAAAGGGCCCTGCCTTGTCTGCAATAATGCCACAGTACTTGTTGGCTTCATACACTTTCTTCTGGGAGTCTGAACAGGCTTGGCACCACGGCCCTTGGCAGACTGATGAGCAGCCTGGTACAATGGCCACCTGCCAGCTGTCCCCCAGCTGTCTTTCATTAGACGTGGTGTTGCCGTTGGGCATTGTCAGGTCATCCTGAGCTTTGTCATTGTAGTTACCACACAGGCCGCAGACTGCACCCTGGTAGGTGCTGGGCAGAGTAACGGTCACTGTGCTCTGCCAGTCAAAGGTCACCGTGATACCAGCAGCTGTCTCCACT